TAAAGACATTAGGTTCCTACCTAGAGACATGCATAAGGTGATGAAATGGGGATCTGGAAACATGAAATGATCTCATTTACAGCACACTAAGTACATCTTAAAATGCTTCATGCAAGTGAAATTTGCTTAGTGGCAATTTTTTCAGTCCAGTTTTATCTGCTGAAGGCACTCCAAGGCTCAGGCTGTCCCAGCCTTGTATCTTTGCTCAGCACAGGGTAGAATATAAAACCATTAAGAGCTGTGCTGCAAGTAAGAAGTGATATGGACACTTGCCAGCTCCTACAGTAATATCAACTCACTCCATGAGGTCTGAACATTCTACCTAAAGGGGGAAATTGTGAATCGGATAATGCCCTGCCTCTCAAGTGCTTGCATGAGATCCGGACAATTGCTACAAACCATTGCGACAGAACTGGTGGTGCTGACAACAGTTAAGCCACAGCCAAATCAAAGGCAAGTCACAAAGGCACTGTATGGAGTTTTGGCACCAACTCAAAAGCCCTTTAAAACTCCTTTCCCGAGTGGTACACCTGTCACATAAGGCGGCCCACCTGCACTCTCTAAAAATTCAGCCAGAAGAAATGATTCAAGAATTATGCACCAGAGAGGTCATGTGAAGAATATACCAGTAAAGGCTGCACCAGATGTGGAAGATATCAGCAAATAAAACCCTTCCAAAGATCACAAACACGAAAGACAGTTTGCTGACAAAAGGTATTCCCACAACAAGGGGGGTGGAAAAGAGGCCTGTCCCTCAGTTCTGCATACCCATTCTTCTCTGAAGTCTTCTACCTCATGCATAGCTAGGCTGCAGGGTTTTGGCAGTGGGCAAGGCCTGGCAGCAGCCCTCTTTATGGCAGCAATTTTCATAAAAGATGAATTATTTTCAGTGTGTTAAATGAATGGTTAGCGAAGAGCTTATCTGACATGACAGTACTTCTTAATGCTATATTGAGGACAGCTAAATGCTTTACCATGTGTACAGCTGGTGTGTTTTGAATAGTCTTCTTTATCTTCTGGGACACTAATTTATGAGCCATAGCTCATCTCAAGAGTAATTTCCTGAACAGTGAAGTTTTGCATAAAATCTTTGCTAATCTAATTTGGCTCCCCAAGGGACATGATAGCTGGAGGTTATATTCATGCCCTGAAATTTCTTCTGAAAGAGAGATAAAGTCCAAAATATCCTCTTACATTGGCGTCTTCTGCAGCATACATAAATTAAACACCCACTTTGTTTTGCACAGCACAAGGAAAAACACGGGTAATATTTGGCATTTACATAGCTTTTTGCTCCAGTGGTGTGCGCAAATAACCCACTCTCACAACATTGCTCTAAAACAAATATTATTCTCATTTTTAGGATTAAGAGACAAAAGCACAGGACAGTGAAAAGACTTTTCCAAATGCACACAGTAAGTCACTGGCACAAGCAGGATTAGACATGAAGAGTTCCTTGCCTCTAGCCTTCTAGACCATGATTGTTTTGGGGTAAGCACAGACACTACAGCTGCATAGCTTGCTGGCAATATGGCAATCATCCCCACTACATGCAGTAATACTGGTACCAGAGGATATGAAGACCAAAAACATCTGCAACCAATTTAGCTGTACTGACCATTGCAGATAAAGTAAACTTTATTTCTAAATGTACAGTATTAGTATATTTCTAGGATCCAATTGATTTTTTTTTGGTTTTTGTAATAAGTCCCTGCTAAAGCAGATACTATTGGATTTGCTCTCCTGCCTTTGGCAAATATGTTCACGATTAAAAAGGAAGAATTAACCAAAGGAGATTTAAAACAAAAACACAAAAACAAAACAAAAAAAAAACAAAAAAAACCAAACCCGAACTATCGCAGGCCTTTGCCCCAAACACAAAAACACAAAAACAAAACAAAAAAAAAACCAAACCCAAACTATCACAGGCCTTTGCCCCAAAATTAAATTTAGCAGTTTTACTATTCCATGACCTCTTGAACAGCAATGGTTTGAGTCCAAACAAATCTGACTTGAATAGCTTCACAAAAGGACTAGCATGCTGCAGCACTAACTAGCTAACTCCCAGGTAACTCACATTGCTACGCAAGCCAAAATCTCTATTGTGGTTAGAAAAAAGTAAATCAAAGTTAATTTTGATTGTTTTCTCCCTCAGTTTTGTGCCTTTTGTCTCAGTGCCAGGCTAGGAAGCTGAGATGCACGATATAAAGTCCTAAAATAGAGACAGTCAGAGAGCCTGTCTCAGCTTCCAAATATAAACAGCACTGCCAGCAACAAGGGACATCTACAATGTGCGCAGGTTTTAATTTATCTTAGAGTTTATTCTAATGTTCAGTCATGATCACACCTCAAGTTCAAGCTTGCTGTGCTGTTTCTACCTACACAAGCTCTGCATTATACAACTGTCTTTGTATAAACACAGGGGAAAAAAATGACCATTATAAACTGTCTTTTCCTAACATGCATCATAATAATACATGCCAAGACGTTGGTGGAGCAATTAGACATGTCAGTTCATCCCAGTGCCTGGAGGAATTGTATCCCAGTGCCAGCCTGAATTTACTCAGAAACACAGCTATTTCCCAAATGAAGGAAAATGAGGTAGTAATTATAAAATCCTGATATTTGCACCTGGAAATGTAAAGACATTTAGATATCTTGAGCTGCGGGTAAGAGTCTAGTTGATATTTAAAACCTAGTGGTATGTAAATAAATGAAAGAAGCATGTTTAATTTATGAATAGCATTTGCTATATATGCTTCAATACCACATTTGATATAAAATACATTCTTGTGTTAACTTACAAATGTGGTTACCTTAAAAACCTTCTTTCCATTTTTCCTCCTAGGAAGTTATTGTAAGAATTACCAAGTGCTTTTGCTGGAATGTAATATAGCTTGTCATCTTGTAGGGTATACACTTTTCTTTTCTTCTGAGATAATGGAACTCTAGGGTTTCCTATAGATACTATCAAACAGCACAAAGTCTCATACTTGTCACCAATCTGAGTTTAACATGTGTTTCCACTTACTCTCGCTCCTCCAGATCAACGGAAAAAAAACCTCTTCTCAGTCGAGCAAGTTTTGAAGGAGGTATTTCAGCTCATGTGCATTTTCAAACAAAGGTTTTGTAAAGAATAGCTCCCTAATCTGTCTGTACATTTTCATAGTTAAGATTTTTATGGAATACTACTTCAAAGCTAAATCCAACTTCAATTACAAAGTTAAAACTACTTAAATGTTGCAGGGCTCAGCAAAGCCTAATTGTTTCAAGTTGCACTATTTCTGGAAAACTTGCTAACAGGTTTAGTTCATGCAGTTTTACTGAACAGCCTCTCTCAAGTTTCCATTTGAGCTTCAGATTTTGGGAATCCCAAACTCAAAATGAAACGCAAACAAAACTGAGTTTTACTCAGGTTGTTGCCAGCAGGTGAATTTTCCCAATTTCAATATAAAACCAAATAATTCTATAACAAAATGTGTGTGTATCTAGCATATTTCACATTGCAGAGACAGCAAGAAGATTCTCAGTCCAGGGACAGGAGTAAGGTTCAGTTAAAGCTGCAAACAAAAAAACCTCAGCTAGTTTGGTCAGCTAACCTAATCCAAAAGGCTGCCTTGTTGGAAAAGATTTACATAGATCTAACCTATCATACTGGTTCCAGTTTACACCTGCTCAGGATATAGCCCAACATTTTGCTGATTGTTGAAGGATGAAGAGGCCATAACTGAATAAAGATCTCAATATTTTTGTCTCCATCTGCTAGTTATACTTCTGCTCTCTTAATGCGCTAGGAATTATGGTCTCTCTAGAAATGGGAGAAAGGTAGAGCACATTGTTCTGCTCCTACAAACTGTCAGTTATATGCTTTTTGCCCATTAAATACCCGGGCTCGGTGTCCTATTCAAAATTTCTATAGTAATTTATCCTTTGGGGGGGAAAAAAAATGAAGTCTGCTTTAAAGTTGTCATTGTCAATCAATGCCAAGGGAAACACACTAAATGTCAGATCAACATGGGACCTGCTTAATGAGCGGCGTGCAATCCAAATATTTCACATAATTGGAATGATAGGTGCAGATGAAAAGAAAGCTTCTGTAAGATCATGTTAATTTATGAAACAGCTCCTGATAGCATATATTCTCTCCCCTTTTTTCATCCCCCTATTGTGCGTATGCATGCATCACTACATTTGTGTGCATCTCTTCCATTTGTCTGACAGGGGAATTTAAATAAGACTAAAAAACTAACCCTGATGCAACTGATATTTTACACAAGCTTCAATTATCGACTCTGCATATCCGAATTCAGTTCTTGGTCACACAGGCTTCCTCTGTGCCCTTGGCCAAATCACTTCATTTTTCTGTGTCACTTTCTGTAATAATACTCCTTCTCCCTCCCATCACATCTAACTTTTCTTTTGAGATTATAAACTATTTTGAACGCAGATTTCTCTTCTGATAGATCTGTACCATACCCGGTCCAATGGAGAATTACTGGGGGCCTCATTGTACCATACTTTGATTTATTGTTATGCGAGTTTCCTCTGTGGAAGAGCATGGGTGCCACTGCACAGGTGAATTTAAAGCTGCCAGGTAACTCACCAAGCCTACTACAGGGCTTTCATAAGTTGTGACTGTCATCCCTGCCCAGTTCTTTTGATACCCTCAGGATACCCTGCTAATTTCCTTCTACTTTCTTGTTTTGATTAAATAGATCTTACAGCCTCAGTTGGAACTGGATGGTGGATTTGATCACTTCCATCTACATAG